TAATTAATAATCAATAAAGACTTAATTTCATGATCCTTACGGCATTAAAAAACCCAAAATCTGCTCATGATTTTTTAATTCGGACTTTGGCCGGTCGTCCCTAGCCAGATGATCTTCTTATTAAGACTTTGGCCGGTCCACCATGGCCAGTCCGCGGACTGGCCGGCCAAAGGCCGAAATCAAGAGCTATTTCAGACTTTGGACGGTCCACAATGGCCAGTCTGCGGATTGGCCGGCCAAAGGCCGAAATCAAGCAAAGTTTCGGACTTTGACCGACCTATAAGAGGCGATATTGGCCAATGCGCGGATTGGCCGGCCAATCCGCGCATTGGCCGACTTCGGGCTTTGACCGTAACATATATATATATATATATATATATATATATATATATATATATATATATATATATATATATATATATATATATATATATAACGGACATGTATAAATGATTTGTTGCAAATTTCATGCATTCACTTGTAAGAAATTCATTATTATTGTCTCACTTGCTGCGTTGTTGTTGCTTATATTTTTCCGGTTTAAATTCCTCTTGTAGTTTTCAATCGACAGATTAGTAATTTCGGATTTTCCTTTTTTGACAGCCCAAGGCGCCTATTGTTAGTGCACAGCTATCGGCCTGTTAAAATATAGGCCAACAACGCTACATTCCTAAAAGAAAATCTTTGTTATGTTAGTGGACAACAATCTATTAAGTTTTAGAAATAATTTGTTTTTAAATAAAATTAAAGGTATGTACATTTTGTTTTACGTTTTAAATCACTAGATATATTTATTTAAACGCTTGATTAAAAATAAAATCTGAAATTTAAATCAACAGGTGAATTGTATTATTAATTAAATTAGGGATTTTGGTAAAAAAAAAAACACTAAAAATTACATATTCTTGTAGAGCTCAACTATATGAAAACTAAACAAAAAAGATTTTCTGTCTAGCTCAAATAGTGTTTTTTTAGCGAATTTTTTTGTGAGGGGTGGAATCCCCTTGCTTTTGCATTGGCCAATTGTGACAAGTGATGGTATACCTGAATAAATTGAGCATAGTTATTTTACTTGCAGTTGTATTTTGTTCATATTTGCAGAGTTTAACTAGAATGATATGTAGAACTCGTAAATGCTGTTGAAATGAATAAAAAATAATACAGAACTTATATTTTTGTGTTGGCTTCCTCCCATAACCCCAAAAAACTGTGTGCTGCGCAAATATGAAAATGTTTCTAAAGCCATATTTTATATAAATACAGCAAATGAAAGAACTACAAAGTTAGAAATCTAAAGTAAATGACTTGAACACTGTTATGTGCATATAATTGCCTCATTATTTTGGGCAGGTGAAGTAGAGTCCATCTTTAAGCCATTTTGTTATAAAACTGCTGCGCAAATATGAAAATGTTTCTAAAGCAAAATTTTATATAAATACAGTGAATGAAAGAACTCCATAGTCAGAAATCTAAAGTAAATGACTTGAACACTGTAATGTGTCTATAACTGCCTTGTTATTTTGGGCAGGTGAAGTAGAGTCCATATAAAAGTCATTTTGTAATAAAATTTGAAGTTATCAGATCAATGTTTTTATGTGTGAATTGTGTATGGATTCTGATTTTCAGCATATAACTATATCTAAGGGTAAGTAGAACTTGAATACTTAAAATTACAGTTAGCACAATGCTAGTGTATAGCAACAGACAGGTAACCTAGAATAGATCTAGGTCTGACTCTTGTCAGTCTAGTCTGACAAAATTAGATTTTAGGAAAAACATATTCTGCAAAACTAGAACTAGAGCTGAAAAAATTAAAGATGGGTATGTAAATATATTTTGAAATAAAAAAATTAGATTTGTTTGCACATGCCATAAGAATGCTGTTATTAGTTGATCAAACTTAAAGGCCGGAAGATCGGGATGAAAAAATATAACAATGGTGGCAGCGTGACCAGGGGCGTAGCGAGGGGGGGGGGGGCGGGGGGTGCGGACCGCACCGGGTGACACCATTTAGGGGGGTGACACCAAGGCAAAAAATAGCAAAATATATAGAGAAAAACTCGAGGGGGGGGTGCAAATCGAAAGTTTGAAAGTTTGTCCCTAGGAAGGGTCTCTATGCCTCTGGGGGGTGACACCATTAAGTGCCGCACCGGGTGACACCCGACCTCGCTACGCCACTGAGCGTGACCTACATACAGTGACTACGTTCGGAGCAGATTAACTAATGTTGGAGTCAAAATATCCAAAAACAAATTTCATTTCCACATACTTAAGATATGTCTGATCAGTAATCTACAATTATTTCAAAAATTAAAAATGTAAAGAACTATTTTGTCTGGTCTAATTAAAAAGTATTCGAGGCATCGTGTTTTCAATAATAGTAATAAGTAACTGGCAGTTAGCGGACATCGTTTAACGTTAAAAGAAGCCTGCGCTTATATTCTAATACTTATAAGGGAAATTCTATATAACACTACGGGGGATGACAACTCGGGATATAGACATGATTTTAAATCCATTTTTATACAGCTCAAACTTTTTAAAAGTAGTATAAAATCTCGTAGAAAAAAAAGAATAGCGCACCAAGTGAACGACAAACAATATGTGTATAATAGTGCGGAATATTATTATTACTTTATAAATTCATATGGGGGTCATCCATAAATGACGTCACGCTTAAATATTTTTACACCCCCCCCCCTCCGTCACACATCGTCACAAAAATCCAGACCCCACCCATAAAATAACTTCACGCCTCAGCCTACAACCCCCTCAAAATTTACTATTCGCAAATGCATTGTGTTGATCTAACTAAGGTATTGTAGGCCTATAGTTTTAACCCTAAAATACACACATTCAGGTTCAGGGACATTTAAGTGGTATTTAAAAAAAATTATGTAAAGACTATCACCTTATATGTTTATTTTAAACAACGTGTGAATACAATATTAAAAAGGGTATTTCTGTTTTAAATATCTATTATTAAATTATTTATCATTTACAACAGTTGGCTATCGAGTATCAAGTTGATGTTTGTTGTTAAACGTAAAATGTTTAAGACCGACGGACGGACGCACGGAGGGACGGACACACAGAAAGAGAGACAGGCTGGGCAAGGGACTAGGCTAGGTTAGGTTAGGTTAGGTTAGGCTAGGCTAGGTTAGGTTAGGTTAGGTTAGTTTAGGTTAGGTTAGGTTAGGTTAGGTTAGGTTAGGTTAGGGTTTGGTTAGGTTAGGTTAGGTTAGGTTAGGTTAGGTTAGGTTAGGGTAGGGTAGGGTAGGTAAAGTTAGGTTAGGTTAGGTTAGGTTAGGTTAGGCTAGGTTAGTTTAGGTTAGGTTAGGTTAGGTTAGGTTAGGTTAGGTTAGGTTAGGTTAGGTTAGGTTAGGTTAGGTTAGGTTAGGTTAGGTTAGGTTAGGTTAGGTTAGGTTAGGTTAGGTTAGGCAAGGTTGAGTTAGGTTAGGTTAGGTTAGGTTAGGTAAGTTAGGTTAGGTTAGGTTAGGTTAGGTTAGATTAGGTTAGGTTAGGTTAGGTTAGGTTAGGGTAGGGTAGGTTAGGTTAGGTTAGGCTAGACTAGGCTAGGTTAGGTTAGGTTAGGTTAGGTTAGGTTAGGTTAGGTTAGGTTAGGTTAGGTTAGGTTAGGTTAGGTTAGGTTAAGTTAGGTTAGGTAAGTTTGGTTAGGTTAGGTTAGGTTAGGTTAGGTTAGGTTAGGTTATGTTAGGTTAGGTTAGGTTAGGTTAGGTTAGGTTAGGTTAGGTTAGGTTAGGTTAGGTTAGATTAGGTTAGGCTAGGCTAGGTTAGGTTAGGTTAGGTTAGGTTAGGTTAGGTTAGGCAAGGTTGAGTTAGGTTAGGTTAGGTTAGGTTACGTTACGTTAGGTAAGTTAGGTTAGGTTAGGTTAGGTTAGGTTAGGTTAAGTTAGGTTAGGTAAGTTTGGTTAGGTTAGGTTAGGTTAGGTTAGGTTAGGTTAGGTTAGGTTAGGTTAGGTTAGGTTAGGTTAGGGTAGGTTAGGTTAGGTTAGGTTAGGTTAGGCTAGGCTAGGCTAGGCTAGGTTAGGTTAGGTTAGGTAAGTTTGGTTAGGTTAGGTTAGGTTAGGTTAGGTTAGGTTAGGTTAGGTTAGGTTAGGTTAGGTTAGGTTAGGTTAGGTTAGGTTAGGTTAGGTTAGGTTAGGTTAGGTTAGGTTAGGTTAGGTTAGGTTAGGTTAGGTTAGGTTAGGGTAGGGTAGGTTAGGTTAGGCTAGGCTAGGCTAGGCTAGGTTAGGTTAGGTTAGGTTAGGTTAGGTTAGGTTAGGTTAGGTTAGGTTAGGTTAGGTTAGGTTAGGTTAGGTTAGGTTAGGTTAGGTTAGGTTAGGTTAGGTTAGGTTAGGTTAGGTTAGGTTAGGTTAGGTTAGGTTAGGTTAGGTTTGGTTAGGTTAGGTTAGGTTAGGCAAGGTTGAGTTAGGTTAGGTTAGGTTAGGTAAGTTTGGTTAGGTTAGGTTAGGTTAGGTTAGGTTAGGGTAGGGTAGGGTAGGGTAGGTTAGGTTAGGCTAGGCTAGGTTAGGTTAGGTTAGGTTAGGTTAGGTTAGGTTAGGTTAGGTTAGGTTAGGTTAGGTTAGGTTAGGTTAGGTTAGGTTAGGTTAGGTTAGGTTAGGTTAGGTTAGGTTAGGTTAGGTTAGGTTAGGTTAGGTTAGGTTAGGTTAGGTTAGATTAGGTTAGGCTAGGCTAGGTTAGGTTAGGTTAGGTTAGGTTAGGTTAGGCAAGGTTGAGTTAGGTTAGGTTAGGTTAGGTTAGGTTACGTTAGGTAAGTTAGGTTAGGTTAGGTTAGGTTAGGTTAGGTTAGGTTAGGTTAGGTTAGGTTAGGTTAGGTAAGTTTGGTTAGGTTAGGTTAGTTTAGGTTAGGTTAGGTTAGGTAAGTTTGGTTAGTTTAGGTTAGTTTAGGTTAGGTTAGGTTAGGTTAGGTTAGGTTTTGAACAATAAACAGGCTAGTCATGCCTAAGGTAGTTTTAAAAAAGATTTTTTTCTATTACAGGAAATTGAAGTAAAAGTTTAAAAAATGGATCTCGAAAGCGAATTTGGAGAAGATACATTGCCGCATTCAACATGGGGTAAGATGTATATATATATATACATATATATATATATATATATATATATATATATATATATATATATATATATATGTATGTATATATATATATATATATATATATATATATATATATATATATATATATATATATATATATATATATTTATTTATTTACATTTATAGTAACGCAAGAGTAAAACCAGCTAGCATTTTCACAGTAGCGCTTAACCAAAACTCATAATAGCTTAGTATGTTTCACAATTACCGGTGCTGAAAAATTAAATCTTTATAAATAAACAGTTTTTATCTGTCATAAAAGAATATCTACCTCCACAATGATCAGCCTGTTCACCGATTTACAAAAGTAAAATCGGAAATGTAACAAACTAACTTTTTCTAAAAAGAGTTAGCATTTATTTTGTAAAGAAGAATATACTAAAGGGGTGCAATTATATAATTAATGTGCTTCTGTAAATTCAAAGATTCGTGTGTGTTCACAATGGTACTTTGCAGTACAGCAACAGTATGCATTATAGGATTTTCTAAATTTAAATAAAAATAAAAAATATATAACTATTGTCTTTTACATTTGTAGACTTCGGAAAAGAGCTGCCATATTCTAAAAACTCCGAAAGCCAGGAAGCATCGAGTGATGAATTTACCCAAATAACACCAGGACACGCTGTCGCTCAAGAAGTTTTAGTAGAGGACTTAAAATGTTTAAACTTATCGGAAGCTTCTTTCGAAGCCGCAGCTCATATTGTAAGAGAAAAACAATATATTTTTGGAGACATTGAGCAAATTATTTGTAAACGGAAAAATGGCACTATTCAAGAATACATAATGTGTTGTTTAGAGACTTTCAAGAAGAAAACGTTGGTACCAGTAATGTTTGATAGCGTTTAAAAAGGGAAAGTGTTGAGTGAGTTTTTGTTTCACCTCAACATAATCCCAGAATCTGTAGCTGAATATCTTCGAGCAGCTGTAGATCAAGTAGCAGATTGTGTCAAAAATGTACACGAGTTGTGGAGTTATTTGTGCTCCTATAGTGTAAAATGCACAAGAAAGCTGGCGGAATATGTTGACGTTTTTTCATTTATGATTGAGCATATAAAGAAATTTACTTTCGTGAATCATGATGAATACATGGTAAATAAACTTTTACTTTTTAACAAGTCATATCAAAACCTAACACGTTCATGTGTAAAAATATTTATTAGCTATATTTTAAACATGCAATGACATTTCTACATATTTATAGTTATTAGTTGTTCACTAATTGATACTTTTGAAGTAATGATAAAGACAAAAACCTTAGGACGGATAGATACCTATCAATGTGTGTTGGGATACATAAAAATTCACCAATAATTTATCTGCTCCAATGACACACACACTTATACATCGGTAAACGCAATTAATTATTCGGAGAAACCAATGCGTAAAGTTTAAATTTATAAAAATTTACACAGACAGCCTTTACATGTATTATTTTAATCACTCTACCCCCTTCCTCCTACTAGCCAGAATTTTGGATTATCTACAAAATGCTGAAGGCAAAAGATACTGAAAAGCAAGAGGCGCTTTATGGTATCATTGGTGATTGGCAAATTTATTTTGGACATGGTTGGTATTGAGCTTACAACATTGTATCAGTCTCTTTATTTTAACATATATATAGTATAGGAGAGGTAATCGTGCATAAAAATTAAAAATTTATATATATATATATATATATATATATATATACACACACACACACACATATATATATATATATATATATATATATATATATATATATATATATATATATATATATATATATATATATATATATATATATATATATATATATATATATATATATATATATATATATATATATTATAAGTTAACCTTGTTTAAGCTGAAAACGAGACTGAAGAAAGAGTAACCGACCTGTCTATTTGTCTAGAAACTACGTAAGTTTGTTTTAGTATTTACAATTTCTAGTTAATAATACGGATGAAAAAGCATGTTTGCAACAATCTTAAAATATGAACTTTGAGAAATTATTTAGAAATATGTTTAAGTAGGCCTTTATAAGTGTTATAACTTATTTCTAAATTGTTCAGATTTTATGCATTGATTAATAATTAAATCATTTGTCGCAATCAAGGAAAATAATTTAGAAATAGATTAACTGGTCTGTCTGCGTAAATTGTATGACGTATGTAAAAAATCAACGTTTAACTTATTTTAAAAAGACATAATTAGATACATTGTTACGTTCTCGTATACGAAGTATAGAGAAAGTATTGTAATCAAACAAAAAAATATCGAGATTTTTACAAATCTTGACGTTTTACACCTGAGTCGAAAAAAACATAGGTGTGCAGTTTTGTCCGTATGTGTGTGTTTGTGTGTGTGTGTTAATGTATGAGTGTCTGTAAACACGATAACTTAAGTACCATTACAGCTAGGTTGATGGAATTTCATATATAAGTATTATATCTGGAAAAGGAACTTATTCTACTTTCAATTTTTCAAAAGCCTATAACTTGAGTACTGTTTCAGATAGATAAATGAAATTTCACATTAAAGTAAAAGACTAAACTCCCGGTTTATTTGATCAATCATCATTTTCAACAACAAAAGTTATGGTGTGGATTAATTACCTATCAAATCTTTCTATTTAACTTTCTTGTATACAGAGTATAGAGGAAGTATTATAATCGTGATATAAAATCACATGAAATTTTAACAGTTTTCGTCGTTTTACACCTCAGTACTTTATCGTATACGGAGTATAGGGGACTTATTTTAATCGGGCAAGAATTATAAATGCAGGTTTATCAAAATTTTGGCGTTCTATGCGTAATCGAGTCGGAAAAACTGGGCTTTGCAATTCTGTCAGAATGTCTGTATGTATGTCTATGAACACGATAACTTGAGTACCGCTGAAGCTAGGTTGATGAAATTTGATGTATACGTATTATATTAAATTTGTAGCTCAGTATCAACTTTTGAGCGATTTTCAGTAACCGGAAGTGGAACTTATTCTACTCTTTATTTTTCACGCATAAATAACACATATATTTTCCTGCATTATGTCTAATTTTGAGTAATTTACGTTGACCGGAAGTAGTAATTGACGCTTTTTCTGTTTTCTCAACAAAAAAAGCAATAAAAAACTCGTACTTATATTATTCTGCACTATTATACACGTATTGTTTGTCGTTGGCTTATGCGCAATTCTTGTTTCTACGAGATTCTATTCTATTTTTTTAAAAAGTTTAAGTTTGTACAAACTGATTAAAGATCCCGGTTTATTATATATTTATATCTAACTAACAAGGTTTGCTAATCTTTAAAAATATGACACAGTTTGTTTATGTTACTTATATATATATATATATATATATATATATATATATATATATATATATATATATATATATATATATATATATATATATATATATATATATATATATATATATATATATATATATATATATATATATATATATATATATATTAGCCGTCCCGGTCAGGTCCTACACTAGCCTTTGTGAAAAACCTACATGTAAAGGGCTGTGACTTGTGTGTTGATAAGCAGCATATACCCGGCATTGCTCGAGTTTAGGAAAGATATTACATTTCAAATTAAATGTCTATATGTCTATATGTAAATATGTAAGTTTGAGAAAAAATATATACATACCTAACCATAGCCACTACCACCCAAAACGACAACCAAAACGACAAACGTAAACATACATGAACAAACATAAACAAACATAAATACCAATACAAAAAACTCAAACACAGAACAAACAAATCACATCCTCAAACATAAATATAAAACCACCCTCACCGTAATCTCAATTTTGCAACTAGTCTCATCTTAGACAAAGGTGCATTTGTATATTGTAGATCACACAGACTAAGTCTAAACCTACATCTACAACAAAACCTGTTTTCTACATTTAGACACTAAACCTGGCTCAATATAATATCAATTTTCAATTAACTGAAATTTCAACCCCTTTATATTAGACTTCTCGCTAGGCCTGCCCATATTACTCATACAACGTCGCTTCACCTAGAACTAAATGAGCAGCAGAACTGTAGATTATTTTATTAAACTTTTACTATTTTTAAAATTTTAAATCTCTTTAATGACATTTGTCTTAATTATACCTACTTATGTTCATATTTTAAAGTTTTACAATATTATTAATTCTGCTTCAGCGCATTCTGAGTATTTTTTTATAAACTATTAAAGAGGCTATAGTATGGTTTAATTTTTGGTTTACGTGTTGTATTCAATAGAATTAAAAGTTTTATCGGATTTAAGATTGGCATGTTTAGGCTTTGGTTAAGTTTAGGTTACATTTTTAAAATAATTTAAAAAAAAATAATGTCCTCATCGCCGAAAAGATTTATGAAATAAGCTGTGAAAAATATCCTTTCTTTTCTCTAATTGGAAATAGCACTTTATTTAAAATTATGTTAGACCTAATACTTTTTGCGAGGGGTATATACTACTAGTTTTAATGATATGTTAGTAAACAATTATTAATTTATCATGATAATAAAATTTTAACATGTTTATACAGCTGAGAATGAGTAAAATTACTATTTTAAAAACTTATCTATTGATTTTTCATGCTTGAAGATCGAATACAGCGGAACATAAACGTATCATCGGAAAAAGAAAACTTCCCCTAAATAAACATGTTGAACAGTTGAAAAGAAATTTTAAAAAGTATACTTTGAGAGAAACAGCTGGAATACAATTGCAGGCACAAAAATTACAATTGGAAATACAAAGTGTTCAATTGGAGAAAGATATATTAGATCTAGAACTAAAGAAAAAAGAGCGCGAACAGATACTCAGAGAACAGGAAGAAAATCACAAAGTAGAAATTGAACTTAGAAAACAACAAATAAGAGAAAGAGACGAAAGACTTAACATGGATAAAGAACGACATAAACTAGAAATGCGACTTATGGAACAAAAACTACATGAAAATGAACAAAATAAAAATTTGTTCACAGATATGAGTGATATATTTAATGATTCAGAAGAAAACTGTTCTAAAATGTAGACACGCTTTAGATTACGTGGGATAATAGTTTCAGTTTTTTTTGTTACCTCAGTGTATAGCAAACGTGCTTTCGATCAATCATTCTTTGATTGAAATTTTTGGCAGATTGAAGACAATCTAAACTTTAAACGATACTTGACTTCCGCTGTAGTAATTGCAAAAAATGATGTTGTATACAGCAAAAATAGCATTTTGTGAAGTGTTATAATTTAGACGTTATTTAAAACTGTACTATTGCTTCCGAAAAGACAATACTCTTGAAATGCGTAGGCCTACAGTATGACATGTATTAACAAACAAAGATTGATATTGATAACATGTTTATAATAACCTTTTTCATTTGTATCATACCAAATTTAATGATTCCATTATCTTCGTCAATATAACAGTAGCTTTTATATATTATGTTTTTGTTACAACTGTATTTACTCTTTTACCTAACATTAAGACATTCGAATGCAGCTTGCTTTGTTTTTGTTGTAAAAATATATTTAAAATATTTTTTTCGGGAACAGTTGTTTATAAAAAATCAATAATACACAAATAATTACTCTTTGAATCATTTTAAAATGGACATATTTGAACTCAGAATTTCAATATATTTTATATCTATATATATAATTATGCACAGAATAAGAACATTGCAGAGAAAAACACATTTATACAAGCAGTTCTAAATGCAAATCCAGTGTTTCTTCTAGACTTTTTTCTCCAGGGGGAAACTTAAAATTTTCGAAGAACCGAATTCTACAACCGAATATCTTTTTCTTAAGTTACTAAGATGTAGTGGTCTAGCGGTAGAGAGCAGAACTGCTAACCCGTAAGTCCCGAGTTTGAATCCCGGTTCAAGCCATAAGACCGTCCCTGAGTCCACCCAACTCTGATGGGCATAGTGCTGACCACACTATCTCTTCATATGCTGAGGTCACAGAAGCAATTGAACTCTTCTTTACTTGCGCTATCAACCGTCTGGTTTGAAAGGGAACTATACTTTACTTACTACTAAGTTGCTAATTTCTGTTTTTACATGACTTCTCAAGTATAGCACTTTTCTAGAGAATAAACATTTTAAACGAAAATAATTTTTACTTCATAAAAAATTGGAATTAGTATTCCATAAATATAATTTGCTGTATGAGTAATGATTTGGACTGAAATGAAAACAATGTTTATCTGATCAATAAGATGTATTTCATAAAGTTGTTTTACTTACTGATTTCAATATACATATAGAAAAATGCAGCCTATATTTAAATACAATACTTAAGCAAACAGAATATGCTACTGAACATAAATGTTTCTGATATTTTGAATGTAAAATGTGTTTGTGTCATATGGAATAAAAAAAAACATTTTACTTAAAATGTATTTCTTATTGTGATATGTATTATTAACATTAGAATTGCAGTTTGTGCTGCGTAATGTGTAGTATTTGTATATATATTATGTTCTACAAAAAGTAGAAGTGGTTCATTTCACAACTTTATTTACAATAGTTAAATCCACAATGAAT